TTTCCTCTCTCAATTTTTCTACGTATTTTTTGTTTTCCTTTATTTTCTCAATTTTTCTGTTCTATAGCTCCATTTTTCCTGGTTTCTGCCTATTTTAATCTCTTTTTTTTTTCTCCCTTCATTATTTCCTCTTTTCATTTTTGTATTCGTGTGTGTGTGTGTGTGTGTGTGAAAGTTAGTTTTCTCCTCTTACCTACCCACAAGAGACAGCAATAACATCCATACAGTCCAGCCACAACTGTGCCCTCTGCAGCTCTACCCACAGGGCAAGAACCAATACCAACTCCTATAACAACTAATCAATCAACAACAGGCAAACCCTCCCTAAATTGAGGTGCACAAATGGAGAATGGTGTGCCCACTTCCATTCTTTAACTAGACCCACAGGAGACAGTTAGTGAAAGCTTAAGAATACATTAACATATAGTTATTAATTAAATACAAATATGACAACCCCACAATGTCCCAGAGAAAACAGACAGTTTTAGCTTACTTGCAGAAACAAGAAAGAATGACTCAAGCAAATGAACAAAATGCAGAGCCAGAAAACATTTCTTAGTAACAAAGGTAATGACACTAACTGAAAAAGAATTCAAACGAATAATATTTAGATACCGTCGAAGTGTTGACAGAAAGATTGAGCAAAGAAAGGCAAACACAGAGGGGGGGAAAATAGAAAAATTCAGGAAAACACTACAAGAACAAACAGACATTACAAAAATGGAAGAATATATCATGCTCATGGATAGGAAGACTTAACATTGTGAAAATGTCAATACTACCCAAAGCAATCTATAGATTAAACGCAATCCCAATCCAAATTCCAACATCATTCTTTAAAGAGATGGAAAAATGATCACAAAATTTATTTGGAAAGGAAAGGACCTCTGATAAGCAAAACACTGCTTAAGAAGAAGAACAAAGTTAGAGGTATCTCACTACCTGATCTCAAAATTTACTACACAGTCACAGAGGTGAAAATAGTCTGGTATGGGTACAACAAAAGATACATAGCTCAATGGAACAGAGTTGAGAACCCAGAAGTAAATTCATTCAAATACAGTCAATTGATCTTTGACAAAGGGCCAAAACACATTAAATGGAGAAGAGATAATCTCTTCAACAAATGGTACTGGCAAAACTGGAAATCAATTTGTAGAAGAATGAAACAAGACCTATATACCACACCATATATAAAAAAACAACAACATGGATTAAAGACCTCTATGTAAAACCTAGAAATGAATGTAAAACATCCTCAATGAAAAAAACAGGGACAAACTTAGGGGCTTAAATATATGGCATAAGTATACTATCAAACATTACAAAAAACACATGAGCAATAGAAGCAAAAATTGATGACTGACCGGGTCCTCCTAAAAATAGAAACTTAAGTGTATCAAAAGATTTCAACTAAAGAATAAAAAGGGAGCCTCCAGATTGGGGGTAGGAGGGTGAGGGGGAATTTGCAATGATGTATATCAGACAAGGGACTAAAATCTAAAATTTATAGAAAACTATAACACCTCTACAATAAAAAGACAAACAATCTAATTTAAAAATGGACACAGGACATTCAGCCTATGTCTCAATCCATGTATCCACACACAAAACACTGTTTTCCCAAGGTTGTGCATATATCACTATTTACCTCTATCCCATTTTGCCCATACATACCTCTCTGAGTCTTCCCCTATCATCATTAGTCATCTGCCACCCTCCTACTTCTTGTGTATTGCCCTCTCCATTACCTGAGGTAACATGTATCTACCCTAAAGCCAGGAAATTACTCTTCCCTCTGTTGTTGGTAAGTGTTGCTGAGCTGGTTCCAATTCATACAGACCCTCTTCCAAGGAGCAGTTGTTGAGTTTGAACCACCAACCTCGTGGCTCAAACTGACTTTGTGGTCCAATGCTTACCCTACAGAGCCATACCACATTTCTTTTAGTATGGCCATCTATTCTTAAGCTTTTACAATAATGGTCTCATACAATATTTGCCCTTCTGTGATTGGCTAATTTCACTCAGCATAATGTCCTCCAGGTTCAACCATATTATGAGGTGTTTAACAGCTTCACTGTTATTCTTCAAAGTTGCATAGTATTCCATTGTGTATATATACAAAAGTTTGTTTTTCCATTATTCCATTGATAGGTATTTAGGCTGTCTCCATCTTTTTGCTTTTATGAATAATGCTGCAGTGAACATTGACATGCATATATCTAGTCATGTCCTGGCTCATATTTCTTGTGGATATACAACAAGTAGAAATATTGCTGGGTCATAAGGTATTTCTATTTCCAACTTTCTAAGAAAGCAACATGTCATTTTCCAGAGTGTTTGGACCATTTTACAGTCCCACCAGCAATGCAGGAGGATCCTAGCTCTCCATACCCTTGCCAGCATTTGTTGTTTTCTGGATTTTTTTGTTTTGTTTTAACTTTGTTGTTAATGCTAACAATGATATCTCATTGTTATTTTAATTTGCATCTCTCTTATGGCTAATGATCATGAACATTTCTTCATTTTTTTTGTTGGCTGCTTGAATGTCTTCCATGGTGAAGTGTCTGTTCATGTCATACTAGCTATTATAAAATAGATATTCACATGAGATAGACATGAATATTGAGAATTATGATTACAGAAAGCCAGTGACTGATTTGATTTGCTAAAAGGGGAGTTAGAATGTACCCAGAAAAACAGATTTCTTGTTAAGCCTTGGTAGAGTGTGGGAATCTTAGGTAGAATCCTGAGCCACACCCAGAATCTTCTGAGCTGGGACATTCTAATATGAAAAGACATGCAGACCAACTCCCAGAACTGCTGGGAGAACAGAAGATTCTTATTGAAAGAACGACCTGCAGAAAAAAAGTACACTGTTTGGCTTTTTGAGTTTCTACCAAGATGTCTGTTTAGAGACATCAAGGTAAGGAAAGTTAGCCCTTCAAGGAAAATCCCATTCTAGGACTGAAAGTTAAAGGGAACTCACAAGCAGTTTAGTATGTTCCTTGTGGGTCTATGCAAGAGTGGAATTAGGGGGAATGCAGCAATGAAGACGGGATGAGTTAAGTCATGTTCCATTGGCACCCATTGACCTTGAGATGAAAATGAGAATAAGAAGGGATGGCTGGTCTCGAGTTTACGGAGTTGTGTCAACACCTGAACCCATGGGCACTGACCTAGTCACTGGGGGCTAGGGCTGAAAATGAAAGGGCCAGCTAACCTAAAATGTAGAGAGGTATGTGGGAACTCCCAAAATTGCAGCTAATATCCTTGATCTTGTTTGGATGGCTAGGGCTGAGTTAACCAGAACCCAATCAAATGAAGATAAAAATGTTTGATACTATAGTGAATAATTGTTATCAGGACTGACTGTGAGGGTTGGAAATGTAAAAGTAGATATTTTGTAGCAAAAGGAGGGGAGTGATTGACTTTGCAGTCCAGGAGCAGAGGTCCCTGGGACCATCAAGGGAGAAGAGCAGAATGCGGAACACTACCCAAAGAAACAGTGACACCAGAGATGGAGGCAGAGACAATGATGTGGAGAGATGGAGTGGCTGGGGACTCTAGACCCAGAGAGGGAGAGGGGCTGTGTGCTGATAACCAGGGGACAGACTTGCAGGGTATACCCTTTGGTTGGTTGATGATGCATGGAGGGGATTGTAACCATGGCAATGAAACAATATACAATAGGATGAATGGAAAGCCAATATTGTCCCATATAAATTATCACAGGCTTCACAATAAAACATTAAAAAAAAAAAAAAAGTAGCTAGTATGACTGGCTAATACAAGAATTAGCAAGTTGTTTTCCGGGAAGCCATAAAGGCAAGCAATCAAGTCCCTTCAGGACAAATCCCCCTCTAAGACTCAAACTCAAAGGGAACACATGAGCAGGCATGTAAGCTTGCTGGCAAACACACTGGTCTACTGGGGAGTGGAAGAGGGGGAAAGTCAGCAAGGAAGAAATGGGCTGAGTTCAACCACATTGCAGAGACTCCCATTAACATAGAGATGAGAGAGAAGAGAAAGGGTTGGGGGGGAAAAGTTTGATACTGTGAGCAAGTGAAAATTGCTACTACTTGATGAAGTGGACTTTTGTTATGGATGCTTCTTGTTGTTAGGTGCCATTGAGTCAGTACCAACTTATAGTGATTTTATGCACAGCAGAACGAAACACTGCCCGATCCTGGACCAACCTCACTACTGTTGCCATGCTTGAGTCAATCAATGCTGAAACTTGGCCAATCCATCTCTTTGGGGGTCTTCCTCTTTTTTGCTGACCCTGCACCTTACCAAACATGGTATCCTTCTCCAGCAACTGGTCCCTCCTGACAATATGTCCAAAGTATGAGAGACAAAGTTTGGCCCTCTTGACCTCCAAGGAGTACTCTGGCTGCACTTCTTCCAAACGTATCTATTGGTTCTTTTGGCAGCCCATGGCAGTTTCAATATCGTCCTCCATCACTATAACTCAAAAGCATCAACTCTTCTATGGTCTTCCTTATTTACTGTCCAGCTTTCGCATGCATATGAGGTTACTGAAAATACCATGGCTTGGGTCAGGTGCACCTTAGTCCTCAAGCTGACATCTTTGATCTTCAACACTTTAAAAAGGTCTTGCGCAGCAGATTTGCCTAATGCAGTACGACGTTTGATTTCTTGACTGCTGCTTCCATGAGTGTTGATAGTTGAACCAAGAAGAGTGGGGGTAGGGAATTTATTCATGGGCTAGATAGTTGACACACATTAACATGGCTGACAGGGCAGGCAACAAGAGGGAGGTTGGCAGAGGAAAGATGAAAGTAGTGGGAAACACGAGGAGGAATGCCAGAGTTAAAGTGAATAGAGGTAAATACTGTGAATTGATGGTACATGGAGAGGATTGCAATTATTGTAATGAAACACATATGATTTGCTGAATGTAAAACTGGCGATTAGTTCTGTAAACCTTAATCAGTTCTCAATAAAAGGTTGAAAAAAGATAGTTTGTTCCTCACCTGAGTCAAGGCGCTTATCTCTGGGCACACTTTGGAGATTCGATTATTCTGTAGCACTAGAGTCTGAAGGCCAGTCAGTTTTTCTAATGTTGAGGGCATCTTCGCAATTTTCTTTCCACACAGTGTAACAATTTTAGTGTTTTTACCACCCTTTAATGCTCTTATTAACAATCTTTCTGTCATGGTCTTGGAAGAAAATCAGAAAAGGGAGAGAATAACTATTAGGGGTTATAGTTCTTAGAACTGGTGTGTCATGGAAACAAAAACATTACATTCTGAGATCCACCATGGTGAAGGTGGGAGGTCTCAGATGATTTTCAGTGTGAGAAGGTCGGTGATTCCAGGTTTGGGGCAGGGATTGTATAATATGAGCATAAAAAATATTCTCAACTAATGAGGTCACCTCAACAGGACACAAAAATGAATTACAGGAGTTCTCACTGGTCTAAGGTGGGAAATTTTGAGGATCAAAAAGAATAACTTATAGCACCCTGAAACATAAAATTATTAAAATCTAAAAGTTTATGGTAGCATTTCCTTTTTTTTTTAAAACAAAAATAAACTGAGTGATCACAGTAGAGGTTGCTAAGGCACCAACTCATTCATCTGCATTTATAAAGAAAAAAAAGCAAGCATTCTGCCTTTCCAATACAATGGAAATGGTGGACAGTGACTAGGCACTCAGCTGCAAAAATGTTGACAGTTCAGATTCACCAGCCACTCCACAGAAAGATGTGGCTGTCTGCTTCCCTGAAGATTACAACCTAGGAAACCCTATGGGACAATTTCACTCTGTCCTACAGGGTGACTACGACTCAGAATCAATTCAACTGCAATGGGTTTAGATTTACAATTCAGAGGAATTACAAAGTTAATAAAATTCTTAGTCATAGAAGTGAAACTAATAAATGAGGAAGGAGAAATAGATACTTTTAAATGACCATTTTTTCAAATTCCAATGAAATAATGAATCTATACAAAGACCATGGAGTCCTAGTGTGGCACTGTGGGTTAATGCATTGGACTGCAAAGTCAGTTTGAACCACAAGGTCATTTGTTAAGCTCATAAGTCTGGTGGTTCTAGCTCACCAGCCACTTCTCAGAAACCCTATACAGGGTCGCTATGAGTCAGAACCAATTCAATGGTGCTTAACAACAAACAACATACAAAGAACATAATTGCATTGGTAAGAGATAAGTAAGAGATCAGTCTAAAATCTTAACTGACTAATCAATTTTAGCAACATTAAAATTGAGATAATCGCATGCTATAAACCTCGTGATATGATGCAATAAAAACTACATAATGTCATCTACAAATGTTCTTACCTAAAAATAGAATCTGAATCTAATCATGTTTGTAGATCTAACTACTGTTTACAGAAAATAGAAGGACAAGAGAACAAGTTAAGTTCATCTCTTGGAAACAGTCAACCAAATCTAGAATGTGAGGTATTTTACAGGACAAATTCCACAAAGTTTTACCGACATATCAATGGCAATAAAAAGAAGAGAGAGGAAAATTATTAGAGAAAAACTAATAAATGAGATAACCAACTAACCCAATGCAATGGATGGTCCTTCCTCAGATCCTTATTTGAATAAATATGTCTTGGAGGTAACCAGGGAAATGTGCTTATGAACTAGATATTTGTTGTTGTTGTTGTTAAGTGCCGTTGAATCGGTTCCGACTCATAGCGACCCTGTACAGGGTTTCCAAGGGTGTAAATCTTTACGGGAGTAGAAAGCCTCATCTTTCTCCCGCGGAGCGGCTGGTAGTTTTAGATGCTAGGAATTATGGTTAATTGTTATGCATAATAAAAGCACGATGGAAGGGTCTTTTTTAAATGGTTATTGTTGTTAGAAGCTGTCAAGTCAGCCTGGCTTATAGTCACCACATGAATGTCAAAATGAAACACTGTCTGGTCCTGTGTCATCCTCACAATCTTTCCTATGGTTTAGCCCATTCTTGCCACCACTGTGTCAATCCATTTCATTGAGGGTCTTCCACTTTTCTGATGACCCTCTACTTTTCTTAGCATGATATCTTTCTCCAAGGACTGTTCCCTACTGATAACGTGTCCAAAGTATGTGACACGAAGTTTCACCATTCTCAATTTTAAGGAGTATTTGGCTGAATTTCTTCCAAGACAGATTTGTTCAGTCTTCTTGAAGTCCATGGTATATTCATTATTCTCTAATCTTATCACTCAAATACATCGATTCCTCTTTTGATCTTCTTTATTCATTGCCCAGCTTGCACATGCAGAAGAGGGGATTAAAAATACCATGGTGAGGTTCAGGCACACCTTAGTCCTCAAAGTGGCATCTTGGCTTTTAAACATTTTTAAAAGGTATTTTCCAGAAGATATGGCCAATGCAATACACCATTTGATTTCCTGACTCTGCTTCCTTGAGTGCTGATTGTGAATCCAAGTAAAATCAAATCCTTAAACTTCAATATTTTCTCATGATTTTCCTTATTGGTTCAATTGTGATGATTTTTGTTTTCTTAATATTGGGGTGTAGTCATATGAAAGTTAGTCTTTCATTTTCATCAGTAAGTGCTTCAAGCTCTTTTCATGTTAAATAAGCAAAGTTGTGTCATTTGCATATTTCAGGTTGTTAATGAGTATTGCTTCAATTCTGACATTGTGTTTTTCTTTATATAATACCCTCAGGTTGTTTGCTCAGTATACAGACCTAATAACAACCAGTGATATGCAGATGATACAATCTTGCTTGCTGAAAGTAAAGAGGACTTAAAATACTTACTGATGAAGATCAAAGACCACAGCCTTCAGTATGGATTGCATTTCAATTTAAAGAAAACAAAAATCCTCACCACTGGACAGATAAACAACACTCTTATCAACGGAGAAAAGATTGAAGTTGTCAAGGACTTCATTCTTCTTGGATCAACTATCAACACTCATGGAAGCAGCAGTCAAGAAATCAAA